ACCAATAAAGTGATGAAACTGAAGTTGACTCCGCATGCCTCCTCCACAAAGGTAAACTTCAGGTCACAGCAGCAACACGATTGAGAGAAAAAAAGGCAATGGTTAGATTCTTCATTCCAAGTTGGCTTTTTGGTAGTGTAGAGAACAGGAACAAATTGTTGAATAGGCATCACTTGTCCCTCCTCCATGACGGTTGGACTTCTGCTCCAGTTCTTGCATGCTCTTCCTCGGGAACTCTCCACAGCAGCCTCCATTCTTGGCAAGAGTAAGGAGCAGAGGAATACTGCAGTACTGGAGTTCTTCTGTCCTGCATGTTTCAGTTATGGAAATGAAACTATGGCATCACGGAGAAATATGAGACTAAAAAAGGAAGTTAAAATATAGAGAGAATTATTTAATGATTTACTCCTTTAATAAATACTTATTGGTCATGAAAAATGAATATGCAGAAACAAATTACATAAAGACAGTGAACAAGTTAAAATGGGAACACGTACTCTGAAAAAAAAAAAAAATGTGTAACAAACTTTAACCTGTCTTGAGTAATATGGAAAACAAGAGGAGAAGGAGCACATCCATGTTGGAAGATGATGTCTACAAAGAACAAGGATGCCCACCAAAGCACATGGACAAATTGTTTCCAAGCCAAATGTAACAGATTTGGGACTCTGGTTGCAGTTAAACTCTGTGTAGGATGTCATCAGTGTGAGCCCAACATCTGCTGGTAGAGGTTTCATGTGGGATTGGGGAAGAGGAGGGGAGACACTGCAGAGGAGAGTGGGAAGCCACACCACCATGTTAAGTAGACATTGCGGTTGTAAGATGCCACCCAGCTGAGGCAACATTAAATTAAGGAAGATTCATTTCACAGAGGAGGAGATGCAGACAAGAATGGAAACTTTATTGAACAAAACTAGAGGGAGAAAGATCTACAAACCTAGATGGAAAAGCAGTATTTATGTTATAAAGTATTATCACATGTTGGCAAAAGTTACTCCAAAGAAGCCCAATTAACATGTATTCTTTAAAAATCTCTACACTTCACACAATAAAGAGAAAGTATAGAGACAGAACAGTTGACTCACCCTCCATATGTCCCCACAATACACAACCACGGAAACACTGGAAGTCATTGTTGAAAGCTGGCCTCCGCGTGGAGTTACAAACTCCACGGGTCCTGGAGACAGTGTGAGAGGGAGTGAGCAATGGAGGGGCAGGAGGAGGGAATCAAGGAGGGGGGAAAGAAAAGCCATAATGTATGCTATAAAGATGTACAGTGATTAAATGTAAGTAATAAACCATAACATTTTAAATGCAAACCAAGTCAGTGGGAAGGGGCCCGTGTGCGTGATCATAACAAAGGATTGACTGACAGTAAAAGCAAGCAAAAGAAACAATTTTAAGATGACTGAAAATCTTGATGACAGAAATTCTTTTCTGGGAAAATACTAATTAAAAATGGTTTCAAGAAGAAGAAACAGAATACACAGGCCATTAGCAACAGAACACACTAAATAACCAGGCAACAAATTTGCTCCAAAAAATAAGTCAGACCCAAATACTTCCACAAATGTGTTCTATCAAATCTTGAAGGAAAAGATAATAGCCATGTGTTTAAAATGTTCCAGGGCACAGAAATCATTTGAGAAGCTTTTTGTTAATTTTACAGTTTCCAAAACCCTAAGAACAAAAGAGAAAAGGGCACACAACTGTATTTTCACTGCTTCTTGTTCCCCCCATGGTGATGGAAAGATTGCTGCCCTCGGGCCCAGGGAAGCCAAGCGCAGGCCACCCCACACTGGATGCGTGAGATGGTATTGATTAGCCATGGACCTGAGCAAGCGAGGGCAGGCTCAATATGGAGAGGCACACGGGGAAACAGCATGAACAGCAGGGCTGTGTGCAGAGGAGCCCTTACGTGAAGAAGCAGAGTGGGGAGGAAAACCTGCAATAGGTTCTTCAAGGCTCTCCCAGTTTTACCAGATGTCAACAGAATATGATATCAAACCTTAATTTTAGAGCTTACATCTTGTACATATATCACAACATGCTCACACACACATAGACATACACATATATGTAAATGCACACATGGACATACACATAGAAACATGTGCATGTATGGCCATACATATGTGCGTGTACATACACATATGGACATACATGCATAGGCATATCACACAGAGACATGCACATATACATAGATACACATATACAAACAGTGTGTCCATGTGCACACATGGACATGCACATAGACATGCATACATATATGGACATAGGCATATGCACACAGAAACAGACACAGGTAGACATACATACAGACATGTGCACACATAGGCATGCACATAGACATGCATGCACATATGGACATACGTGCGTGAACATAAGCACATGGACGTGCATACACATGTGTTGACGTGCATGCCTGCATGGACAGATATACACACACACAATGTAAATATCTTAGCACATTATAACCGATATATTGACAGATATATTCAAGAAAGGGTAGAGTGCAAGGGACCAACAGTTAGCGTAATGGTTATGTCCCTGGACTCCCATGTAGTCAACCACGGTTCTCATCCTGGACCCAGTGGTTTAAAACTCACTCCAGGTGCATGCGCTTGTGTGCCCAAGATCCCGAGAGGAGAATGGAGGAGAAGGGATTGTGGTGTGGCCATCCCCCCTGGGGGGTGATTTCTCGCTTTCTGTCTCTCTGTCTCTGTCTGGCGAGTGCACGTGCCCTATAGCAAAAACCTCTCAAAAAAAAAAAAGAAAGAAAGAAAAGAAAAAAGACAGACTAGAGTGCTTTAGAACCTAGGAAGAATAGAGTGGTGATCCCAGGGGACGATGACTGAGGTCAGAGTCTTCACCCCAGGTGACTGACTGCTCCCCTTGGGGCAGGGCTTGGTGCTCCTGGTGATGCTGACAGATGCCATGGGACTAGCTGGCAGCATGGATGGAGCTCCTCTTCCAGCTGCCTCTTGCCCAGCAACACACAGAGTACTTGGGCCTGTGAGCTCCCGTCAGCAGAGAGCACTCCCTCCGGAGGGCTGAGTATGAGGACTGTGCCCTGGGAGGTGGGTAGGGGGTGTATGTGTGCGTGTTCGCAGTTAGCGTCAGACCCTCTGAGGTCAGTTACCACAGGAAGGGGCTCTTCTAAAGGGAGGGCAGGGAGAGTGAGGCCTGGGCCCTGTGCTAGGCAATGCCTTAGGCTGACTGAGGAAGCAGGGGAGCCTGTGCTGCTCAGCAGGGAAGGCTGCATGGGGAAAGCAGCTGATTGTACCCACAGGACTCAGGGCCCTGACTGCAGTGCTGGGCGGTGGCATGACCTACGGGTTAGGACCTTGTGCTCCAGTGACTCCGTCCCCTGCCACTGAGCAGCACCTGAGAGTT